TATAAATATATTTATTTAATATATATTTAATATATATTATATGCCTGTATGTCTATATATAGATATACAGTATAGACATACAGGCAAACAACGTCACTGGAAGCAACACAAGCCAACCTGTCAGAAAACGTATTGGCACATGCACACAGGCTGCCACTGTAAAACAGTTTTGTGATAAATCCCACAACAACAAAAGTATAAGCCTCCTGGTGGGTGGGATTTATTGCAAAGGAGGCAGGCGAAAAGATTTGGTAGGGGCCGTGCATCATCTGACCACACACAAAAAATCTTGAATGAATGAGAAAGAACTAGGAAACATTTCGCTAATGTGACCAAGGCCATAGCTGGTGCCAAGAAAGCCACAAGCCTGCAGTTCCATTAGTACAAAGACTGGTGCCAGACACTACATGGCTGTACTCATTTTTTTTTTAATAAGGAATTCAAAGAGTTTGTAACAAAGCAGAATAAGGGCTAAACTTAAAATAGAATCAATTTTGAATGGAGTTGGGGGGGCAAATATAAATGTATTTATATTCCCCCCCCATGCTTCATTCTAAATGGATCTGATTTAAAATCATGGGACTAATTGCAATGTTATGTTCCCACTTGGGAGACAGCCTGCAACAGCACACCTTGTGTGGGATTGTATGTTTTCTTCCCCCTGCCCCCCCCCAAAAAGCATAGAGACAGGTCAGTATTCAGTAATAAATGGGGTGCATTCTAGGGAGCGTTCTGGTTGGGATGTGCTTCTCCCCCAACCTTTTTCTCCCTCTAGCCATCCCCTTTGTGCCCCTATAGTCTCTCTCTCTTTCTCACACTCACAAGACACAGGCACTCCTGCCTGAAGAGTTGGGGAAAGTGCTTGATTGCCTGCTGATCAAGTCTTCCTCTTCTCTCTGCCTTCCATGGACCAGCAAAAGCATTCTTAAAGAGCCAGAAACAGCCATGCTTTTTACAAACACTGTATGGTTGTTGTGAGTTTTTTGGGCTCTTTGGCCATATTCTGAAGGCTGTTCTTTCTAACGTTTTGCCGGTCTCTATGGTCGGCATCTTCAGAGGACAGGAGTCAGAACTCTGTGCTTTTACAAACATCTTTACCAACACAACTTCCCTCCCTCCATCCTTCCTGCAGCATCTCCCACCATCTCCAGCTCCTTATTCAAGGTACAATTTGCAGCGATGGGTGTATATTTCTAGAAATAAATAATTGCACATGCATACTATTTTAAACAATTCTCTAACCTGAACAATATATTCGTTTGTGTTTTATGCAGCTGACAAATGTGAGCATCCTGGCATGGCCTACAAAAAGCTGCGCTTTGTGCTTGTTTTCTGATGTTTTCGTTTTGGTTATTTGTTTAATGCAAATATAAGGTGATAGGAAAGAAGTTGACACATTCCCAGGGGGTTTCAACAGGCAAAAGTCCAATAAGCCAGTCCAATATCAGAAGTCCAGAATATGCAAAGCAGATACCAAAATGCCAAAGCCAAAACACAAACCATAGTCAGAAGTTAGAGTCCAAAGCCAAGGGTGCAGAGAACAAGGTCCAAGATAAGCAGGAGCGTGGATGCGAGCCAGAGTGTTGACTTGTTGCTTCCACAAACTTCCAAGCCTCTGGGTGCAGATTTTAGAGCAGCAGTCATCTAAACAATTCATCCTCCTAAAACTGAGGGCTGGCCGACCTGATGTTCCTATGGGAAGCATTCATGCGATCCACTGACCTTCATGTCATGAGTCTTTGCCGAAGCTTAGCCCTCACCCTGGCTACTGGAGGAGGAGAATCTGGTGGTGATTCAGCTGTCTGTGCTTCTAATTGCCCAGCATTTTCCAAAGCTGTAATTAACCCCTCAGATTTCAGATCTTCTTCAGCTGAACTCATGACAGAAGTACTAAATATTCCAAACTGTGCTGGTATCTAAAAACAAGTAATCCTACTGCATGAAAATTGTACCAAAACATAAGAAGAGAAGAAGAGTCCTGCTGGATCAGAATAAAGGGCCTATCTAGTCCAGCTTCCTCTATCTCACAGTGGCTCCATCAGATGCCTGTGGGAGCACATGAGACAACTAGATTCCTGTCTCCTGATACCCCTCCCCTGCATCTGGCATTTTGAGGTACCTTCCTTCTAAGCCTGGAGATTATACATCCCCATCATGGCTTGTAACCTGCGATGGACTTTTCTTCCAGAAATCTGTCCAGTCCCCTTTGAAAGGCATCTAGGCCAGATGCCACCACCACATCCTGTGGCAAGGAGTTCCACTGACTAACAACACTGGGTAAAGAAATATTTTCTTTTGTCCTCACTCTCCCAACCCTCAATTTGCATGGCTGTCCCAATGGTTCTGGTATTGCATGAGAGGGAAAAGAGCTTTCCTCTATCCAGACCTGAAGGCAACCTGAAACTGGGCCACAAGCAGGATGTAGTCTGCACAGTGCAGGAGAAATTTAAATGTTTTGGGATTTGGGCCTGGTATAGTCCAAAAAGCAAAGACAAGGCATGGTTTTGTAGATTCTGTTAAAGAAAACAGCATGAGACTTGAATTAGACAGAGCTTAGTTTTATGACATCCTTTCCTTCCTCCCACATTTTAAACATCCATGTCTATCTTTATCTCCAGGTGACTGCCCTGCTCCGCAGATGCCCCCCTTTGCTACACTGGGTGACTCTGCATTGAATGAAAGCTACCCTGTTGGGACTACTCTGCGATTCCGCTGTATCCCAGGCTATATATATATCACTGGATCAAAGCCTACTATTCAATGTCTTAACGATTCAACATGGTCAGAAACTCCTACCTTTTGTGAAAGTGAGTGTCTTTCTCCCAGATCTGTTTTTACCATTAAGAGCGGCTCGCATGAAAAACTGAGCAAAGATCTAGAGCTCTCAGCAGTTTTCTTTCCATTCTATACTTTGTGCAAAATAGTCCCAAGGAGGTGCTAACATGCTGTAAAACAGGAAACTTCCATTCTTGAATCGGCAAAACTGCAGAGCAGCCACATTAAATGATTTTCAAAATATCTCTCTGTGTCTTGCCTCTGGGCTGAAATGCACTGAGATTCTTCAGAAAGTGTAGAAATAATTCGGTACACACAGACCACCCACCATAGAACTCCGTGAGGATCATTCCTCCTAAATGCAAATTTAGGAGGCAAATGCCAACAGGATTGTATTTAAAAAAGAAGAAAAAGGGCTGCAGCCTGGATCTCTTGGCCTAACTTATCTCATGGAGCTGTGGGGGACAGCATTGTGATCATAAAATGTTTGGGAATCTGTATATTGCCCTAGCTTCTGAAACATGTTACTTTCAAGAAGTCTGCAAGAATCTTGACTCTGTTTTAAAAACCATGACAACATACGGTAAAACTACATCTAATTCTTCCTTCAGGAAAGCAGTGCAAGATTCCAGCTCTTGAAAATGGCAAAGTAGAATCCTCAGGTGACTTCCGGCTTGGTGATGAAGCAAAATTCATCTGTGATGGGGGGTGAGTTTCCAGTCATCTGTTGTAACTATCTAGCTTGGTATAAAATTTGTGGAACATATAAATACCTGAAAAATTAATTGTTAACAGTGAAAGTCTCCACTGTTCAATTTATTTATTATTTTTTATCCTACCTTCAATGATATTTAAAAAATGCATTAATTAGTCACTTGAGTTTACTGTTGCCCTAATTATAAATCCAAGATTTTTCCTGGCATATATTCTTCCCTGACAATTTCTGGAGGAATCCACAGTGTATGTATGCTTCCATTCGTTCTCTTTCTGAGCACAGAGATTACCGACTTTGGACTTGGTTAATCGGCCAGAGAGACAGTGAAGAGGCAGATGAAATTCACTCTGCTTCTTTCTCCTGTGCCTTGCAAAGCAGACGGAGGGAAGAAAAGCTGCCTTCCTGTCTTGCTAACCTGTGTTCTTTGGGCATGTGTGACAGGCCAAACCTTGACAATTGCAGCTTTCAAACTGAGGAATCATTGGATGCAGAACCACTTGTTATTCAATTTCTGCTTTCCTAGGCAGTTGCTAGCTTTCATTAAAAAATGAAATGAAGTGATCATATACTTCCTATATCAGTGTTTCCCAACCTTTTTCCAGTTGTGACCTCCTTTTATAAAAGCGAAATAACCTGCATTCCCCTGTCAAATTGCTCCCCCCTCCCAATATCCCTGTATTCTTATGTAAACTTGCAGAGGATCAGGCGACAAATTGGCCAGACTATGAGGCCATCTTGCTTGGCCAGCACTAATTCTCCCCCAGCTCCTGCAGGGCTTGTTTCTGAGCAAAGGAGTTTTTGCAATTCTGCTGCAGAGTGGAAAAGAGAAGAGGGGTAGGTGTGTGTGTTTTCTGTGTGCCAGTTTTGACTACACATTTTAGCACAATTCAAGATTCACAGTTTTCCCTCCTTTGCTGACAAGGGGTAAGAAAGAAAGGCATACATGTACTCACACACACAAATCACTTCTCTTTGCACTCCAGATTTTAAACAATCCCAGGCTTAGGCAGGTGTTAAGAAACCAGAAGCAAGTGGGAATCAGGGGTTCTGGGGAATGGGGAACAGCTTGCTCCTGTCATGAGTTCAGCCGAAGATCCGGAACCTGAGGAGTTAACTGTAACTGAGGAGAATGCTGAGCGATTAGAAACACAAACAGTTGAATTGTCCCCAGATTCTCCTCCCCCAGTAGACAGAGTGAGGGCTAGGCTTCAGCAAAGACTTGTGACACAAAGGTCAGAGGATCGCCTGAAGGCTGCCCATAGAAACATCCGGTCAACTAGTCCTGAGTTCTGACAGGATGAAAAGGCTTCCAGCAGTTCAATGACTTTTTACTATATGATCAGCAGC